ACAGTTTAGGCAATATGATTTCCAAAAAATTCCGGTTTCGCAACACTGTGCGTTGTGGATATGAGTGTTTCTAATTATTCACCAATTTTAAATGACAAGAGGTCATTTCGATTGATAATTTAAAAAAGGCATGTTTCTTGTACTGTAATTCCGAGATTATTGAATAAAAATATTGAAAGAATTAAATAAATCTTCATTGATTTAGCATATTTAAGAGCATATTTTGAGCTTTTTATAGCGCTTATTTTCCGCTTTTTCTGGCCTATTTTTGCCAGGCCTGTTAATAAGATTCTAAATAGTACATCAAAGTTATTCAATATTTGCATTCGAAAAATTCATAATCAAATCAATTTAGCAGCAAGGCGCTTGCGAAAGACATTTTCATCGTTCTGCCAGGTAGTTAATACCGGAATTTCGATGTGCCAATTTAATTTTAGACTTGAAATCGTTGTCAGAACAACATACAAAAATTTCAGACTAAATAATAAACATTTCTTTACTCTCATCACACGTTTGGGGTGATCGGTCTGCAAATATTAATCTGATAATTGTAGACTATCAGATGATTGCAGCCTTATCAAAATAATAATTTTGGTTCAAGTTGTAATAAATAATTTTGGTCTTTGATTTTTACATGCTAAGGGTGTTCAGCCTCCCACTGCTACCCTGATCAGGGTCCAATTTCACGGCTGACACCTCAACACACCTCCCATAACGCTCCGTCCCAACTAAATAATGACGTTAATTATTATTATTATTAATATTATTATTATTATTACGTTATTAAGTGACATTAGTCACTGGCTCTTAAACTAGTACTTTTTGTCGTTCATTACGCAGAATACGATTTTCCAAAAATTTTACTTTTTCTTTTGCGGTATCTTTCTTGGCTGAGTTTTTTCTGAAACTTTTTTTACCTTTTAAATCTTCATTCTTGTGTTTTATCTTAGTTCCACTCAAAATACTTCTAAGAAGTTAACCTTACTTCCCCATTTAATTCCTGAAATGTTTGGATCCTTCGTTAGTGAGGCCATAACTTTCTTTGCCTTTTCGCGATATGTAACCCCTTATATTTACCCAAACCCTTCTTTAGGGTAATACGTCGGTCGGCTTTGAACCGTTTAAAAACCCGAAAGCCTTTTATGCGGTAACACTCACCTTTTAAATACATAGGAATTTTTTTTAAAGAGCATGCAGGTTGCTTCTGAAAAATGGTAAATAAATTTTCTGGCATCTCCGATTTCCTTGTAATCTTCACGTTTTTTATTTAACATTTAATGCGAAGCTTATATGATTGTGGGCGCTGTGGTGTAGTGGTTAGCAGTGCGCGCTACCACTCCGCAGGGCCTGGATTCGAGCCTAGTTTCCAACTAACAATGACAAACCTCCGAGTGCATTCAGCCGGGAAAAACAGCTTCTCATAAAAATACAATCGCTGTTCGGAGTCGGCGGAAAACTGTAGGACCCTCCCCTTTGGGTGACAACATCAAGGCGCACTTCACAAATCGGAAGAGAAGCTCGATCAAGCACTAACATATTGTGTAAGCGCTAATATATATAACAAGTGAACCTGCATGTCGTTAAAACGCCCTAAAGTTTATTTCAAAACCCAAGAAACTATTGAAAATGTTAGTCAGTGTTATAAGTGATCCGAGTGCCATATTTCATCTAAGTCGGTGCAGCCGTTTCCGATGAAGATAGGTCTCCCATAGTGTCGGTTTTTAATATCATCAAATTCCAAATCACCCTGTACCGATAAAAAACGATCTGACTTCTAAAATTAAAATCTTATCGCACACCTAAAAGCCAAGGTCTCTACTTCGACCTCTCATATTTGAAATTTGAAATAACG